ACAGAGTAATAAACCCTTTTTAGACAATTATGCAGGACGAAAAAAATAAAAGAAGCATTTTTACTAATAATGCTTAATAAGAAAAGTACAAATTAATTTAATCATAAAGTTCTGCATACATCTTCAAATAATTCAAATAGAATAAACAATGTCCCACAGCACAGACGTCCCGCTTACCCTGTACACAAGGGTAGAAATTGAGAAACCATTGCGTACCCCTAATCAGAACTATTATGTGTCCAAACCCCACAATCCTCATATGCCTAGAGTTGGTAACAGTCATCGCGGACGCTTCCCTAGTTATTATGTAGAAAATGAACATTATAATAATGGGGAAAGTTCTCATAGGATGGAATCAAAAATCGCTCAAAATCCTAAACCAGAAGTAGTTAAAACGGAGAAAGTTGACCATAGTGCGAATAAGCTGGGCACTACGAACAACATGTTGAGTTTTTTCCAAGCGGTCATGATTATCGTTCTTTTGATGCGATTAGGCGTAAGTTTGAAATAGAAAAAGTTTGTCACTGCCTGTGCTCGCCGCATTCATACATCTGCTCGTGAATGTATTGCAGAATGTGCAAATTTGTGCGCTTCATGGGTGCACGATAGAACGCGTTGAAAACGCAGACACGGCGGTGTGCAGCAACAATGCACACTTACCAACCTAATCTCAACTTTCTGCAGAGGAATACATCCGAGAGACTCAGGAAGAAGCACGAAGCAAGGAAGAAACTATTAAAATTCCTGGACAACGAGAACAAAAAAATTAGAATTGATGATAAATTGATGGCAGAGAAGTGCAAGAAATTGGAGGAGAAAATAAAAAAGGAAGAAGAAAAGATGGAATTAAAATGGAAAGAGATAAGAGCAAAACTCAAGTTAAAAATGAAAACAAAGCCATCAAAAAACCATTTTCCTGGTATAGGTCCATTCTACGACAAAGACAAAAGACGTTTGGATCGTAGAATGAACGCTGTAGATATCAAGTATGAGAAGTATAAATTGAAGAAGAAGAAGCGATGGTGTGCCATGAAAGCAGCCTATCATAAGAAACTCAGGAAGTTGCAAAGAAAACAGGAGAACAGAAAACAGAGGAAGTGTAAACGGATGTTTGTATTTGAAAGGGATTGGAATTTTGGACCCTCATCAATCAAAAAGTACATAAACCAGAGAGAGGATGATTATAAAAATGATGATAGGTATTATAGGAAATTAAAGGTAGATCAAAAAGCGGCAGATAAGGCAAAAGAAGAAGCGGAAAAAAAGGCAAAAGAAGAAGCGGAAAAAAAGGCACAAGAAGAAGCGGAAAAAAAGGCAAAAGAAGAAGCGGAAAAAAAGGCACAAGAAGAAGCGGAAAAAAAGGCAAAAGAAGAAGCGGAAAAAAAGGCAAAAGAAAAAATGATGCAGGAAGAATTCGATGCGGAATATGAATACTATGTTGATGATGACTATGATGGGTATGGTGATCATGTGGTCTATTATTTCATAAATTCCGATGATGATTATTAGGATCTTGATCATTATGACGCATATGACACTTCCCTCGGCGGCTACTAGAACAATGATCTATATAATTATGAGACGTTTTGATGTGACCGATCCAGCATTTATCACAATTTTGATAAGCTTAAAATGATAGAATAAGTAGAATCGACACATAAGAAATGTGGACGGAGTTTTCAGCTCGTTGATGAATTGAAGAGAACGAAGTTTTTTGGTAAGGGGTTGTTGTGCACTCTTTCATAGTTGTTGATAAATATATGCCAAGCAAAAATGGAAGAAGAAGAAGAAAAAAAAAAAAGAAGAGTAAAGGAATTTAGGACTCATGGGCGAATATATATATATATATATAGACATCCAAACATCTTGTAGCACACATTCTTGGGTTCTTCGGAAGTCCTCACACATATAATTATGAGGGAATGTATTCATTCGTAGGACTTAGAAGAATTAGCACACAAGTTGTGGATGTATGGTTTTTTTTCGTGAGAATAAGTTTGTAGGGAACAATGAATAAGTGTCCATTCTGCTGTTAGGGACTCTTTCTTAATCCTGCTATAAATGTCATTATTACTGACACATCCCAATGATGAAGACATTGTTCATAAAGGAGCATAGGTTATGGGTGAATTGAAGATATCCATCTCGCTGATAGAATGATTATTTAGGCCGTTCCCAAATAATAGGTGCCCGCCTTATTTTCTGCAACGGCGCCGTCGCATTCTGTAACGTCCACATAATGCGCCTTATTCATAAGTTTTTTGCGTCCTGTTAAATTCGAACTTTAGTGTATGTACACTGGTGTGTGTAGCATGTTATGCGTGGGTTACTCCGCACAGAGGCACATCCCCTTTGATAGCGTTATTTTCATTTTTTCCCTAAAAAAAAAATATACAATAATCATTTGTGTATGTGTATGCGTGTCCATAAGCTCGTTCATTCTTCACTTGGACGACCAGCACACCCCTTCAATTTGTTTTGATGTCTTTTTTCCGTGCACCTGCTGAATCATGTTCCCAACATTTTTACATGAATACATACATATGCAATCTCGTCTCCGTCGAATTAGAAACTGCAATTTATCCCTTTTTTTTTTTTTTAATACGCTATAAATATCAAAAAATGGGCGGCTGTTCTGTAACCTGGTGCCATTTGTCCCTTTTTTTTTAATACGCTATAAATATCAAAAAATGGGCGACTGCTCTAATCTGGTGGAATTATTCTTTGGTACGTATTATGATTTATGGTACGATTAAATTTTCTAATATAGAGTTTTCGGAAGTTTGTCGTACTTTAAAAAGAGTCGGAAATGGGTGAAGCTATTTTCTTTTTATGCAAGGCGGGAACGGTGTCACGGTGATTGCATCGATAGGGGCAAGGGAGAAAGGGAACATTGTAAGCATATGCAAATATGCATTATCCTACCTTTCCATGTGTTTTTCCAGATTTGTCCCTTTTCCATAGCAGCCCTTTTTGTCTACAGCAAATTTATTTCATACGATGATTGCATTATTTGATACTTCCCGAATTTCCGAGTACAAACGCGCGAGAAAGCTGACAATGTGTGCTACGGTGATTAGTTAATCTGGTTATAGTTTACCATGAACTTACACAGTGTAGCACCGTATACTTCTATAATGGATGCATAAACCTTTAGAAAAGGAGGACGTGAGAATGGGAAGCACAACGGAATCACTGCTGAACAGTGTGACAAGGTTATCCCCCTACAATTCCATACATTAGAGACTTTTCCTGAATTAATACTGATGTATGTGTCGCGCAGAATTATACTTGTTGTGCGTAGAGTAGAACGGAGCAGAGCGCGCCCCTTCCCTTGCACTAAAATCATAGCGGCTTCTGGGAGGCGGGACGGTTTTATGAACATAACTTTAGGAAAATACGTGGATGACCTCCTTATATTATACCACCCACATGGAACAAAAGGCGGAATGAGGAACATTTTAACGGGGAAGAAAACTGGATAACACAGGTTTCTATGCGATTTGTATATTTGGTACCATTGATTTTTTCTTTCCTTTAACCGAGACTTTTATGTAAAGGATAGAGGACGGTTTCAAAAGGTCCGAGTGGGCATACAACACTTTTGGGAACGTGACCCTTTCCTTAACAAGTGTATGAACTATTTTTTCGCCTGAGGGTAATTTAACACATGACTATCGTTCACACTGTTTGAAAAGGGGGAAGAAGTGGCGTTTTATATATATGTGCTTAATAGAAGGTTTTTCTGTTATACGCGCTTTTAATGAAAATTCTTTTATTTATATATATTTTTTTTTTTTTTTGCCATATTTTAAAAAATAAATATAAAAAAAAAAAAAAAAAAAAAAAAAAGGTGAGAGAAAAAAGTTTTATGCAAAAGTGATCGTTTCGATTAAATTACACAATCAGAGTTCTTCATCAACAAATTAATGAAAACAATTCAATAATTCGTTAAAATGGGCATATGTTGGGTCTTTTTTTCTTTTTCTTTTTTCCAATTTGTCATCTTATACTTCAATGTACAATCATTTTGTCTGTATCATTTATTTTCCCGTTTACAATAACTCTAACCGAATAATGAAAATCCTAAGTCATCTTCTTCTTCCTCCTCTTCAACTTTCTCTTCCTTCTTAGCTTCCTTCTTATCGTCACTTGGCTTATCCGCTGCGGCTTGTGCAGCTGCAGCAGGGGCACCTCCGCCAACGCTTAAATTGCTTAGTAGGCCCCTAAAAAATG